CTTAGTTCGAAAGTTTTGTTCACAACCCAGCATTCCTGTCAAACATTTGGAGAGACTTTGTATTAGTTCGGACTCATTATGAGTAGAGGCTGCTGCGCAAAGCGGTGTGTCGGCTCATGGAGAGTTTTGTAGAAATTTAGTGCCGAGCTTTGCTCTAGACACTAGGCGTTCGTGCCAGACAAAGAGTGGCCAGCTAATTCCCCTAGGTTTAATGTAGCAGAGTATTCAAAGTGGCCAACATCAATGGTGAATGCTGCACTATAAAAGTACAGACTAACCGAGCTGCCAAAAATCCTCTTCCAAAGGCATGGGACGAAATTCTTAAGGAATATTAAAGGCAGGGTAGATGTCGTGGAAACTTTTTGAGGGAGATTCATAAAGGCCATATTGAATAAAAATTGCTTGTTGGATTATGGTCAAACGTTGCTACTGTTGATATTCAGTTTCAAACTATCACAATCACTTTGTCACCATATTTGGGCCCCACAAAGTAGTTGAAGCAATGAAACAGGCGGATTTACCTGATTGACGATCTGCTCACTCTCGGCATCGTCGGTCTCATCGCCAAGAGCATCGTCGATAGCATCACCCATGATTTCCTCTTTCATATCCATAATTTCGCTCTGCTTTTCAAACTGGAAATCGGAAAAAAAAATGCTTAGCATTTTAGAAAGACAACGCAGCATAACAGTTTCGGTCACGTTTTTTTGAATTTCAAATCATAAAGGGTCCAATAATTTCACTTAGGCGTTTGAAAAGTTTTATGTCTAGCACTTCACTAGATAAGGCAGCATTCAGTACGTCATTTTGAGTTAGTCTAGCTTCGCTTCGTTTCAGCAAAATCAATTATTCTTTGCAGTCCTGGTTTTAGATACAAGAAACGCAAAGTGGTGGAAGAATGGGACTGATATCATCTATGAACAAAAACAAAGCCAAGGAGCAACCACAGCTTTAAGTGAAATCCACAAATGCTCAAAGGAAAAGGTTGCAACTAAGCATTTTGAACTTCATCAGACTAATTCCACAGTTCCAAAACAGACGCACTCTTGGAAGCGGCATTGAAAACTGAATCGCGAGCCCTTGTGGTAATTCTTGAAAACAAGTAACCGGTATAGCATTGTGTACTGATCGCTTACAGGTTCCATTATGCGCGCTACTTTCATTCAAAATCGCAAAGGCTTTTGAGGCCACACCAGGCGCACAGAATAAGGACGGTCCGGTCCATCTACATTTCAGAGTTTCAGGCAAGTATCATTCTAACCCCGAAAATTCGAACTTGACATCAATATCTAGCAAGAGTGGGAGAGCAGCAAAACGAAGTTTGCTAGGGAATTCTGACTTAAGCAATGTATGCAAAGCAGTTCATAAAATAATACTGAGATTTAAAAAAACCGGCCATTGACTGAATGTTATGTAAAATAAGAGCATATACTTTAGCTGGAAGATATAATGATGGAAAAAGCGTTAAATTTCAGCAGTCTAGTCACTCAAAAACTGTTTCTTGGATAGAAAAAGCAATGCATTCACATTAAAGTGTCGCAGTTTGTGATGAGAAAATTGTATACCTCCATCATGATTTTCTGAATTTGCGGGAGATTCAGTTGTCGGTTCATTGATTGCATTGCTCTCGTGACTCCTTTCATAGCCTGGAAATAGGAAACAACAATGATGTAGAAAATCAAAAATTGAGTACTGAAAATGCCCGTGAATCAAGATTGGAAAATGTTCCAGAGCATTAACAAATTCCCCTGCAAAACTGCCTAATGGTTTCGTTAGAGAGTGGCCCAAAAGTAGAAGTTGAGAATAAAACTGAAAAGAATCGTAAGACCAGCTGCAGCAAACGGGGAGAAGTGTATTACCGGTTGATTGTTTTAGGTTTGCATCATGAAATGTAACTTGAATTATCAAAAAAGAACTCCATGAGCAAAGTGGATGTGAATCGAAATTTGATTGATTATGAGGTGAGGGAATTTTATTTTCAGATGTCAAGAGTAAAAATTAAACTTTTTGTGAGAATTACATCACGTACCTGTGCCATAGCGTCCTGACTTTTTAGGGTCTGAACCTTGAGTGAGACAGCTTGGATGTTGGCCTTCATGATAATGAACTTCTTGATGTAACGACGAGTGCGTACAAGGTCTTTCGCCATAACTTTCACTGAATCCTGATGAAAGAAACCTATCAATCAAACTCTCACAACACGCCGCAAAAGTCTCTAGAAGCACTCCATCAATCTCGTCATGTTGGATAGGAACAAAAATGGAAGAATATCGAATGGAATAATTTCTATCAGTTTAAATGACACAATGTCTTTAGACATCTTTTCTTGAGCTCCCTGGTAAGAAAAATAAAGGGCTGACCATCTGATTCTGCTTTGCCATCTTTTTGATTTCCGCAATGACTTTCTTCTCCTGCATTTCCATGCGCGATTTCTCTCGGTCGAGCTCTCGAATTGCTTAAATATTCTTCATAGAAGTCTATTCAATACAGTCTCGCTAAGCTTAAGCTCATACACTAGTTAGTGGCTGCGCATAAAAAAACGAATAAATAAAACCTATCGACAAAGCAAGAGCACAAATCACAATTTAAAAGTGCAGAACTACTTCAATTTTACATTACATACACACACGGACGAACAACTCGCAGATTCCGACCTAATCAAATATTAGAACTTTTTTCTGACAACTTCCTTTGGAGTAGTAACTGCAATTACATGTTGGGCCAGCACTATCGCATTCCACCCCCCCCCCCATTTGTATTCGCTAGTTTCACTTTGGTCAAAAGGTGTAAAACGCTTTGAGACGCCAAAGATAGGAAGATATGGGGAGCAGCGCGGCGCAATAGTTCACTTCCTACCATTACCAGTACCATCGCCCAGCCCCAGTGATCCAACTTTTGCATTTTGGAGGCAGCCGAAAATGTCGTGATAAAGTTCATAAGAATTGTAGTGTTTTTTGTTTCGTTCATATTAAAGATCAAATTCTGGGGATTTGTAAAGCAAACAAAAGGTTACGCTAATTTATGGAATGTTATTGTGACTAATAAAATGAAGAGCTGCTGATATACCTTTGTTTAATGCACGCTGATTTTGTCGCAGAAGCTCAGCAGGTGTTTTTCTTCGACCGAAGAGGTACTCCATCTGAAAAGCAAAGTATGAGAACAGTGATGAATTTATTCAGATCTGAAACCGCAGTGATTTGAAACCGCAGTGAAAGACCAGAAAAGAAGACGTTGCAATAGATGACCAGACAAAGAATGAGGAAGTCTCAGTATCACCAGTTGTCACACTCGCAACTCTACCTTCCGATTGACCCCTTCCCCTTGAAGGATATGGAAGAGGAACGGTGCCTGCAGGAATTAGACCCGAATAAGAGACAAAGGCAAAATGCCACCATTCCCGTTTACTGCGGAACAATCAGGAAGGTCCGATAGCGCTCATCGATGACTCAACAAAATCGACAGAGAAAAGTTGCTCGCAGGAACGAAATTGACCCATAAAAAATTTACTACTGGACAGTTTGCGCTGCGTTTGCTTTATGAGCACCAAAACTCACAGTTGCTCTTTTCACAGCGATAAGTTTGACTACACATACGAGGATTGCGAGCTAATGCGATGTTATAAAACATGAACTTCAAAGTCAATATAGTACCCCATCCTAGCGCATGAAAAAACACAACGGGATCGGGTTGTAACAGATTTTTATAAGCTATGCCTTTGCGTAAGCGACGGCAAAAAGGCGCTGGTGGCAGCACAGGAACGACCATGAAAAACCTAGCCATCAGCATAAAACTTTGATCTCAACAAAAGGAAATCCACACAGCACGACTTCCACAATTTCACCTATCTCACTTCTCATCAAAAAATTAGGCGTAGGAAACGGTATTGGCCTTCAGTACGCAGTTACACGGACTTCCGTTTTATTAACTTCCCCATTATTTCAGGCATTCTCGTTTGTGATTTTGCCTCAGTCTCAAATTTCTGTTGGTGATGGACGTGAATAATACATCAAAGAAGCTTAAAAAATCAGTAAAGCGAAAGAAGTCCTTGGCAAGCGTGGATGAGGTCGGTTTTTTTCTTTGATTTCGTTCAATTTTCTACCGCGTCTCATTCCGCTGTTGTTTTCAAATTGTAAGTTACCTTATTATCATAGAAAGGAATGGCTTCACAAAATGCTTTGTCCCTGCTTTTCTTTTTTGGGGTAGTTGGGCGTGAAAACGTTTTGAGCCATTTCCTTGTCAATGGAGCTTCCTTCGTGCGGTGTGATGCAGATATTTAATTCGGCGTTTTAGTGTGCATTAAAACTGATTCTTAGATCTGTATGGTGGTTTGCGCTTATTGGGACTTTGTGTTATTAGGTAAAACTCAGAGGAGGATTAACTGTGTTGTGTAAGTTCACTTTTTCCTTTGGTATATCACAGAGCTTTCTTTCAGAGCCTCCTTGAAGGCGAAATCGAAACCTGCATTGAAGAAAAACCAAGGAACTCCGAAAGAGGTCGGTATTTAAAGATTTTGTTCTCAGGTTCCGACAGTCAGTTGAAGAAAGCAACATGTTTTCCAGCTCTCTCAATTCGTCAAAGTTGATGGTTCACCACCTAAGAAGAAAAAACTGGGTTCGTTGAAAGAATCTAACATCCATAATGGCAAAGCTGGAAAGAAAAAAGTTGGAAATCTCTCGAATCAGGTGAGTTTCTCATCATTACTCTATCTGTGATTATTTTCTACTCTGCGGATGTGCTAATATTTTCAAGAACGGCACGAATACTTCCTCAAAGGTCACTAACGAGTCAAAAAATGGTGGATCTAAGAAGAACAAAAAGGTTTGCTCCCTGGAAAATTCAGTCTTTACATAAATTACGAAATTTCAACGAAATTTTAGCCTATCCCATTATTTGAATCCGACGACGAGCAGGACGATGAGCATGTTACTAAGCTCCATGGTGTAGTAGGAGAGGACTCGGATATAGAAATGGACGATGACTTTGCTAGCGACGAATCCCTCGATGGTAGTGCGAGTGGTGAGTCCTTATAGCTGTTTCATTCTTTATATGTAAATGTTTACTTGCGTTCCAGGTAACGACGATTCTGGTAATGAATTACCTATTGAGAAAAAGTCGAGGCTCCTGGATAAAAGAAAGCAGAAAACGGCGTGAGTTGACAGGCTGTTTCTTTTCCTAATAAACTGTATTTTCATAATATTTTTACAGGGATGAAGGTGAATCGGAACTTCGTCTGAATATTGCCGGTCAACAGAAGTACGAACTTCCATCAGTTGACGAAGTGGAAAAGCAACTTAAAGAACTACCCAATCTCCAGATTATCAGAGATAGGATTAGCGAGTTGTTCAGGTATTGATTGTTGTTGATGCTCTGTACATAAATTTTGCGGTATGAGGGTACCGTCCGTGACGGAATTGATGCTTTCATAATCAAGATTGGGATTAGGTGGGTGTGGAGTGCTAATGAAAAAGAAAAGCATTAAAAAAATCTTTTTCGGCTATTTTAATTCAGTCATGGATGAACAACAGGTGTCTCATTCGCGCTGAGTCAAAGACAAAAATGCTTAAAGCAACAATCCAGGAACGAATTCGCGGGTAAGGACCACCTATAATGACGTTGCAGGTGAGAAGTTGGTCAATGGAGAAAGAAAAAGTAGAAAAAAAAAAACGTCAGGGGCTTAGACAGGGACTCCCCCTGCCGTTTAGGGAGACGTGTGTTGGACGAGTTGTCCGAACCTGCCCGTAGTACATGCGCTCCAATTGCAACTGCTGGCAAATAGCCATGCATGCTTGCAAATACATAACTATTTGCCAGCAATCGAAATTGAAGCGCTTAAGTTGCGCTCTCATGGAATCGACCTGATACAGCGCGGCGGTCCCGCAACGACCGCTATTCGAGCAAGCGCTCTTCACAGCAGCAAGGAGGCGGGTCAACCGAGGCTCGGTTGACCCGCCCTTTTCGACGAACTTCGAGCCCTTCTCACGCATTTCAGAGGTGAGTTTTTACTTCAGTGACAGTTCCTTTCGACTTCACTTGGGCTGGGGCATGCTTCCACACCTCAGCTTTGGATTAGTTGAAACCCTCCCTGGACTGTTGCTTTAAGCATGCAATCTTAACACAGTTTCGGCTTGGTACTA